ATAATACTATTAAAAACACCTTTAAGGGCAGGAGTTCCAGCCTGTCTGTAAGACTTCCAGGAACAGATCAGGAAAGGGTCTAGAAAGATGTGGAAGCTAAAGAGGTAGGGCAAGGAGAAACTGTGGGTTCCTCTGCCAACCTGCTTCTCCTAGGCTGTCTGGTCTGCCTGCAGTCAAGTCCCTCCTCATTTCTAAACCATTCTACAGTATATGAAGGGTCTGCCTGCAGTCAAGTCCCTCCTCATTTCTAAACCATTCTACAGTATCTGAAGCCAATGGCCACCTTGGCCTCATAGCTCAGCTGGACTCAAGGGATGTGCCTGATCTCATGTGGCTACCTCCTCCCTCAAACCCCACCACTTTATGGTGATTAGAATGAGAATGGTCCCCATAGGTGCATATATTTGACAGATTAGGAAGATTAGGAGGTTTGTCACTGGGATTGGGCTTTGAGGTTTCAACAGCCAGTGGCAGGCCCAGTTTGTCTGCCTGCTGCTTGTGGATAAAACATAAGCTCTCAGAGCCATGCCCACCTGCCTGCTGCCACTGTAAGCTCCAATAAAGTCTCTCTCAGGTCCCACTGAAAAGCAACAAGCACTCTTAAACACGGAGCATCTTTCCAGCCCTAGATACAGATTCTTTATGTGTTTTACCTTAAAAAAAAAAATTTACTTTTTATGAGTATGTATGTGTGATCATGTGAATTCATGTGCCTCAAGTGCATGCAGGATCTTAAGGAGAAGAATGTGTCACATCTCCTAGAACTGCGGTTATAAACAGTTGTGAGCTGCCATGTGGGTACTGGGAATTGAACCTGGGTCCTCTGGAAAATACAGCCAGTGTCTTAACCCCTAAGCTACTTGTCCAGACCCCCTAACCCCTTTCTTTTGAGACAGTCTCTCTACATAGACTTGGTTGGCCTGGAATTAGCTATGGAGACCAGACCTGCCTCTGCCTCTGGGATCAAAGGCCTGCACCACCACACCCACTGAAAGTACTTTTTAATTTCTAAGTAATTTCTTCATGGACTCAAACTATTTGGAAATTGAATCTTAAATTCCCCCCCAAATTCTAGTCAGTGTGTTAAGTTTGGTCTTAACATGATGCTGGTAGGTCAGCTTTAAATTGTGGAACCTGGGGCTAGAAGATGGCTCAGTAGTTAAAAGCCTCTTCCAGAAGACCCAGCTTCAATTCCCAGAACCCACATGGCAGCTTACAACTGCCCCTCATTCCAGGGGACCCAATGCCCTTTTCAGGCTTCCACAGACATTCCACAGAGCATGAGGTACACAGATGTACCTGCAGGTAAACCACACATCATACAGGTTAAAAAAAACAACAACAAAAAAAAACATGTGGGGTCTGAAGTAATGCCTTGAAGGCAATAGTAGGACTTGGGTTTTCTCCCTACACCAATTTGTGGCTGCCACAAATTGAGTGGTCTTGCTTCATCATGCATTCCCACAATGATATGTTGCCACAGGGTCAAAGCAACAGGCCAACTGACCATAAACTGAACTTCTATATGCCTCTCCCCTCTTTGCAGAGCTACAGTAGACCAGGCTGATCTCGAACTCAGAGGTTTGCCTGCCTCTGCTGCCTGAATGCTAAATCTTTACATTTTACAGGTTGATTGCCCCATGTATAGCAATGGAGAATAAGAAACCCAAGAGTTGGGTATAGAAGTAGGTGCCTGTAGTCTCAGCTACTCAGGGCACTGATAGGAAGACCAGTTGAACATACAATTTCAACAGTTTGAGAATAGTAACACTATTTCAAAACAAAAACAGAATACAGACCCTTACCTCCCTTACCATAGCCCATTCTCTTCACCTCAAAGTGTGCACTGGATGACATTACTGCAGCTACCGCTGACCAGGCCATAGTTGGGCAGTCTTCTGCCAACTTTCCTTTTCCAACTTTTTATTCCGACCCTTTGCTGTATAAATGTAGCTTTCAAAGACCATATGGCCCAATTGGAGGAATTTTTTCTCACCAAATTTGATTGCATTGTGACTGCTAATAGAAATGGAGTTATTCAATAGTTTTTTGGAGCTGGGGATATAGCTCAGCAGTACTGTACTAGCTTATTGGGAACCTAGGCTCAATCTCCAATAACAGAAAAGGGGGGGGATGACGAGATTGGCTAAATGGCTCAGCGGGTAAGGGCCCTTGCCACCAAGCCTAACAGCCCTAGTTTGATCCCCATGAGTCATATGGTAGGAGAAAACTAATTTCTGCAAGCTGTCCTCTGATTGCCACGTACGCACCAAGGCATGCACATCCCGCCAATAAAAATTTTAAAACAGGTTTTTTTTTTGTTTGCTTTAGGTTTTTCAAGACAGGGTTTCTCTGTAGTTTTGGAGCCTATCCTGGAGCTTGTTCTGTAGACAGGCTCGAACTCAGAGAGATCTGCCTGCCTCTGCTTCCTGAGTGCTGGGTATAAGGCGTGTGCCACCACCACCTGGCTAAAATAGTATTTTTTAGTTACTATTGTAGTTTCCTCCAGGCCAACTTTACCTTTTATTAAGTTGGGTAAAAAACGTTTCCTCATTTTGCCTGGCATATAGTTGGAAGAGTTGTAATACACTTTTTTTTTTTTTTTTTGAAACAGGGGTAATACACTTTTTAACATTCACACTTACTGTAATATAGTCTGAAGTTAAGAAATTTCTGAATGCCATGCCAGCTGCAGTGGTGCTTTAATCTCAGCATTTGGGAGGCAAAGGCAGGTAGGTCTCTACAAGTTTGAGACCAACCTGGTCTACATAGTGAGTTCCAAGACAGCCAAAACTCTATATACATAGTAATATCCTGTTTTGGACTAGTCCCCTGCAAATGTAAATGCTTTAACTCTGATTGACTCTATTCTGTACTAGAGGCTGACTCCCAACTATTTCAGTATTTTGAAAAAGAAAAAAAAAATGCTCATAAAAACCACTATTACTGGTGACTATTATAATCGCTGCTTATTTAGGGTTTACCACATATGGACTCATTCCTTTGCTTTTTTTTTAGTCCCATGCCTATCTTTTCAGCTTAAGTTCCATTTATCTAAAGAACACCCTTCAGTATTTACTTTTCTAAGAATATTTGGCTCAGCAAGTTGTCAATCATACACTGATCTCGCGTTCAGCAGCATTCTGGCATAAGTGTGTGGAATACCAAGGGGGTCGTTAGTTCAGCGCTGCTTCTTAGAATAGGGTCACTTTACTCTGGTTATAGTTTCCTCCTTTTGCTTTTTAAATTCAGACAACGCACAATGATCTGTGTGGTATGTTAAAATGCTAGAATTCTTGGAGTTTGTTCTTTCCACCTGTCCCTGCTTCCCAAGTGATGGGAATAAAGGAATGTGCCACCAACGCTCTGTCGAGTTTATTATTCTGACACATTTAGAAGAAAAAGGATTGTGCCCCTGGAGGACAGCATTCTGTAACAGACAATTGAATGCTTGGAAAGCATCAAGTTAACTGTGCCTCTTAAAGAATTGTGCATCTGTATTTATTATAGAGCTGGTTTGTTTCTCTAAATAAGAGATTTCAGACCAGCTCTTCTGGGTCCCTCCTATCAGGACCACCAGGGGGCGGGTCCAGTAGGAAGGAGGTTTAGAGAGAAACTTCCCAAATTAGAAAATTTCTAATTTCTAGGATTAGGTTTCAAACAATACTATATAAAACTAAGTAAGGAATCTCAAAAGATGTAGACTCCAAAGAACACAAACCTCTTAATATTTCGACTCAATATTCTCTTCTGTATCTCAAGAGAGATACAAACTTTCAAGTTAACACTGTATGAAATGCTTGCTTTGAAACGTGTTCAAAATCCTAATACATTTCATAATGTTACAAAATCACACAAATACCACTGACCCTGTAAGACACCGATTAAAGTGAGCAGTGTGTGTTGGGGGATGTGAGTCAAAAGACTAGCAGTATACAGATGGCTGAGAAGTAAACAGTGTTGGAACAGGGGATTGCCTAGAAAAGAACCTCCAAATGGAAAAAACTCTAAAGAGGTCAAGAGGACGGTCTACTTCCAGCTGCATAATACATAATTTATAACGAAGGGTTGAGCGGGCCTTTCTTCCTGTGGGGCCAAGGATGCAATTACTTAGTGCCTTTTGGAATTTTTAAAAAATATAACCCTTACAAAACCCTTCTTCTTCAAAAAAAAAAAAAAAAGGGGGGGGAGAATGTGTGGAGTGGTGGATAGTGTTTGCAAATTGGTTTCGAAGTGGACAACAACAAAAAATCTCACGGCTCAAGGCCAGAGAAGACCGACTTCCAGGAGCCTCAAGTGTGAGCAGGCGCCGGGGTCCGGAGGGGAGGCAGGCTGCACGGAACCGCTCGCCACAGACCCGCGCGCGCACCCTCGCGTTATGTAATGGTCTCTTTCGGCAGGGTACCCGCACCAATCAGGGTCCTCCACCGCTGCTCCGCCAGCGCTGCCAGTGTCGCTGCACAGCTCTTCTCTGCAGGTCTCCCGTGAGGTGACGACCCTCAAGGGGCGACCATTATACAGAGCCCAGGGACCCCGTCCACCCCCGGTCCTCTGGTTCTCCCCAGGCCCCCTCGGGCTGGGTGGATGCCCAGGCACCGCCAGCCGCCCCGGCATGCCCGACGGCGCGGCCCGCACTCACTGTTGTATTGAACCCCCTTAGCGAAGCGCCTCTGTAGCGCCTGGTTCATGGACTGCAGCCCGGCGGGGATG